AGGAATAGAGATTGGCACCGATTGATACCCTTCATCTGAGCTTCCTCGCTATCCTTTTATGCCCTTTTTTCCCTAAGCGCTGGATGGAACCATCAGCCCGGCGCTCACCTCCACCTCTCTGTCCCCAGGGAAGCGGATGTGCCCTGGAGAGGCCCTGGCCCGCATGGAGCTCTTCCTCTTCCTCACCAACCTGCTCCAGAGCTTCACCTTCCAGCTCGATGGCGACTACGAGGAGACGGATTTATCCTCCCTATGGTTCAAGATAGAGGCAAGGGCGATACCGGGCAAGTTCCTTGCTATTCGGCGCCCGGCGTCCCCTTAGGCAGAGAGCGTTGGGGGGAAGGAAGGGGTCTTCCAGTTGCCTTCACATCTTCTGAAACCAGAGCAAGCCACACAACCATGAACGCTGCCGCAGCAGCCACCGCGCAGGAGGATCGCTTCGGAATTTTCCTGGGAGAACTGCCAGGCACCTCTGCCACCAGCTCTGCAGGCGTCGTGGCTCCCAACCCTTCCCCTCTGAATCCCAGCAACACCAGGAAGTCAGCACTGGATTTTCCTCCACTGTGTTATCGGCTCTGGTTGGAGCTCCAGCTCCTCGGGGCAGGGCTGCCTGCGGCTCCCCGGGCTGCACTGGGCACTCCCTTGTTTTGGGGAGAGGTTAAGAGTGCTTCTGCAATAAAAATAACCATCGCAGCTAGAGCTGGTGTTTATAGGGACATGTGTGGTGTCTCCCGAAATATGGGCAGTGATGCTCAGGGGGGTATGAGCCAGCCACAACAACGAAGGTGAAAAACACTGAATAATTCTGCTGCCCTGCTTTGTCCCCTCTCTGTACCCTCCAGCACTACACAAAGTCTGTGACACTGCAAATCATGCTCGCTCCCGTCCCCGCATCCCAGGGCACAGGGATGAAACCCATGTAAACAACCCATGTGAACAACCCTTATGCCATCAAAACGTTAACAAATGATGTGTCGGGGGAAATGTGCTTCTGGAGGGGGGTGTCATGCTTGGGGACCAAGATGTATTTTGCCACCAAAGTCCCCGTGTCCTTCTCAGGGCGCTCCATATCTCTTCTGTGCTTGCACTTCTTTAACCACCCCTGCACAAAGAGGGATTTACTTGCCAGCGCCCAGGCATGCTCCAGCCTTTATTCCAAAGCATTGGGACTTTAAATAAAACAGTTTTTTTTCTTTAAATGCCTGTGCAAGGGATAAATGACCCAGAGACGTGCCCACCCTGCCTGCCCTCAGCGATGGCCTGGACTCCCCCTCCCACCAGTGGGTGGCTGAATGTGTCTCCAGCCCTTGGAAAACCAGTGTGTTTCCCATTGCATCCAGTTCTTCCCAGCGCAAACCTCCCAGATACAGGCTGTTCCTGGGGTATCTTCATCTTTCCCAGGTTTTTGTGTGTCCCAGGACACATGGAGCCAGGAAAACATTCAGTTTGTCTCAGCTGATTTGCCTCCACAGCTTTAATGTTCAAATGAATCTTACACATCTCAGGAATTTATTGCTTGCTTCAAAACACTGATCCCCATGGCCCTGACCCTGGGGAGGGCTTCATAGGCAGGCGGGGGGCAGGGGACAGGGGACAGGCCTGCCTGCACCAGGGACAGGCAGAGCCACCTGAGCTCCACCAGCAGCCAAATGGTTTCAGCTGGAGAAGGAGCACAGGTTCCCAACAAAAGGGCTGAGTTGCAGTTTAGGAGAGCTGGAGCCTGGGAGGATTATGTGGGAGAGTACAGCAGATTGAAAAAAAAAAAAAAATCCATTTTGCTGTCTCAGCTGCTGGGCTGTGCCTCTCTGAGGTCCCTCATGTCAATATTTACCTCTAGCAAATACCCTGGGTGCCTGTTCAGCTCTGTGTGTTTGTGTGCAGCTGTAAGGTACCTCTGGGGTTCTCTGGGGGGGCTGGCAGGGTGGGGTGTGCTCCCAGCCCTCCTGTTCCCCCCAGGCAGGGGGTGAGGCTTGTTGCAGAGGGTCTTGTCTCAGCAGCGGGGCCGGGGGGCCCT